TATAAATATAAGATCCATTTCTTATATTTATCAATTTTTTTCTAAATTACCCCTATGGATACTCCCTCAACCTAATCAAATAGAAAAGAAGATGAGGTATTAAAAAAGATGATTATGGTATTTTAAGAAAAACATGTTACATTTCTTATAATTGACTAACTTACCTAACTTCCTTAATTAATCAAACTAGTTAAATGGGTCTTATATTAAGGACCGGAGGAGTATTATAAATTTGAAAGACAGAGTTGATTAGAATATTATATTTAGAACTACTAATTAGCTTTTATATTTAAGCTGGATGTAGCATGAAAAAACTTGTATTGCCAAGAAGGCTTACGGCAACATGAATAGTAAAATTAGTAAAAAGGAAAGGTCACGTTGTAACTTCAACCCAGCAGCGAGGATGGAGTAGAGCTGGTAATACAGGCTGGGCCCACCAGCCTGCCAAAAAAGGTAGGCTCGGGTTGGCAATATGCCAGCCCGCACCGTTTTGAGCCTGCTCCGCCGCGGCTAGCCCGCCGGTTGGCCCGCTTTTTTTTTTATTTTAATTTTTCATATAATTCCTATATAGTTAAAATATTTTGACCCTCAAATTTTACATGAACAATTAAGCATTGTTTCTTTCATATCATTGCATAAGTAATTAAACACTTTATATATTTGTGATTCCGTGTGTAGTTATACGAAGATCATCATCCATTTTATTTTTCATTTATTTGTTGTGTCACTATAAAAGCCTTTATAAAATTAAATAAACATGCGATACTTATACATTTATACATAAATATCTACTAATTAATTTGGATAAGAAAACTAAATTACTTTGAATAAAAAAACTAGTTAAATAATTATTTATAAAATATATTAGTTTTAAAAATATATTCTTAAATTATAAATTAATCTTCACTTTATTTTATTATAACTTACTACTCAAATTCAAGATTCGAAACCTAATTTTAACATTTCAAATTAAGCTCAACCTATACTAATAATAATAGTTTTTATTTAAAAAAAAAAAGAATATGTCGATGGGCTTGGTTGGCAAAATGCCAGCCCGCCAAGGTGCGGGCTGAAACTGCTTTGGGCTCGCACCACCGCAGGCTGGCCCGTATCTGTACCGCCAGCCCGTATTACCACCTTTAGGATGGAGCAAAAATTTAGGAGCTAGATTGACCTCTCTCGTGGAAGCAAAAATCAAGAACTGGGCGGTGATGAACGTGATCAATCCGCCGCAGCCGCCATGCTCCGCGGTCACTGCGGGTGCCACAAGGGCAAATGGGTCATTGAAGGGAGTTCCATGTCCTACGTTTTTCATGGGGGAATAAGGAAGTCACTTCATACATTCCACATATGGAAGTGAATTTAGCCACACCAAGCGGCTAAAAATCAAACTTTTACTTTCACTTTCATACCCCTTAATCCCATGGCGACAGATCGGGCCAAGAGAGCATAGGATGATAGGAGGCTAATCAAACAGGTGCCGTTGGAGAAGGACTTTATAGTCTCGTTTAATACGAAGCATTAAAAATAAAGAATAGGGGTTGAGATTGAAAATACAAAATTATATTAAAAGAATGTTTAGTATGAGTAATTATATGCTACCCGGTAGAACCGGGAAAAAAAGGGCCGAGCCCGTCGGGCCGGCCCTTTTAGGCCCTGAAATTATGAGGGCCGGGCTTGATATTTTTTCTTAAAATGAAACATAAGCCCTGGAGGGCTGGCCCTGGAGGGCCGGGGCTTAAAAGGGCCGGCCCTGGAGGGCCCGGGCCGGCCCTTTTAAGCCCTTTTATTTTTTTTAAAAATTTTTATATAATATTAATGTTATTAATTTTTTACATTGTTAATAATATTTCAAATATTTAGTTATTATTATCATTTTAAAAGTAAATTTAGTTTTAGATAATAATTTATCCAATTAAATTTTTAAAATGGTTAATTTGAACTTTAATAATGATTTGATTATATTATATGCGTTGATATTTTAAACTATATATATATATATTTGATAATAGAATATTTTTATACTTATATAACTTGTGACTCTATAATTGAATTAGAAATTCATGAGTTTCAACAGCAATGTTTCTCACATTAAGTAAAATAATAGTTAGATTGTAAAATTTAAAAATAAAATTCTTATAAAGAAGAAAAACTTGATATTTTTGTTATGAAAGAAAAGTATACTTATGAAGAAAAGTAATTAATTATAGTGATGATGAAGTTTCAAAAGATTAATAATAGTGTTTATTTATTGCACAATTGCATTATAGATAAAACTTTTAGATGTTGTTATCTTGTTAATGAATGTTTTAGATGTTCTTAGATATTGATGAATATTTATATATGATGATATTTTATATGTGACTTAATTTTTATCATATTTATGTCTTTTATTAATAATTTAATTGATTTATTTTTATAAAAAATATGATAAATATAAAAAATGTATTTTTTTTTAAACGGGCCAAAGCCCGCGGGCCGGCCCTGGCCCTGTAGCTTAAGGGCCGGGCCTAACAAATTGGGGTATTTTAAAATTCCAGCCCTGGAGGGCCGGCCCTTTTAAGCCCGCCAGCCCTGAAGGGCCGGCCCTGATTCCCGGCTCTACTACCCGGGATTAATTGGGATTAAACAAACCCATATATTTAGAACTGGGGATACTATAAAGGGAGGTGGTATTCTTCAATTCTATCTATATGAGATTGCCTAATCTTATATGATAAAAACTACCCATGCTAAGCATCCTCTTAATACATGTTTTCAACCACCCTACCTAATCCTTATCCCTCATTTTCAATATTCCATACCAAACGTGACCTATGAGTCCACTTCGGATAGGGTCTAAACATTCTAAACAGGTGATTGCATGACAAGACCTGCGATCTATAAAATTATGATGTTTGAGTTGGTGAAACAAAAAACGAAAAAACTAAGCCATAAGTAAAAATTAACTACTTATAATTTCTGGCTTTTAAAATATAAGAAGAGAGAAAGTTAAAAAATTTATTATTTTCTCTCATTCCTATTATAAACTTTAAATAACTAATTTACGGATAACGAAAAATTAGTTAAAACTAATAAATAGATTAAAACTATATCTTTATTTTTAAATATACCCTTATAATAAATGATAAAAAAAGATAAAAGAAAATAAATGACATCAGCATGAGCTTATAAATTCAATTGAAATTAATAAATAAATCATACCCCAAATTTAAAGCTTATAAATAATATAAAATTATCATATCATGTAAATTGATAATTTTTTATTCTTATTATTTATAAAAAATCATACTTATTTTGATAATTTTATAAACTAAAATTTTTTATTCAATCATAATCCAAATAATTTACTTTCACAAATTAACTTATTATAAAAATCAATCTAAATATAAATCATATTACCTAATCTAATTTTTATTTAATCTAATTTTTTTTTAAAAATCAATTAAATTAAGTTTTTTTCTAATCGCAGATTTAAAGGGCCCTGTATATAATGGCACGGCCGAGGGCTAGCACAGATATGGGTATGACAGAATTTGACAATCTAAGTCAAAACAACGTGGAAGGACACACCTTGCATAGTTGCATTTATCACAAGTACATGATTCCTAACTCGGAGATTGATGATTATTTTTCTCCCATTTTCCTAATATTTTTATCATTAAAAAAATTTCATTGGACAGCACGGCTTCCAAAATGAGGGTCGCATCTTTGTCTCATTCTCCATTCAACGATAATCGTTCATGGTTTTTACTGGCTGTTGGAATGCTTCGAGTGTCAACCCTGCCAACGGATCCAGCCGTAGATCATAGCCATAATATAGAATGGTAGAAGATTTCGCTGAAACAGTCAGCTTATCTCAAAGATGAGCGGAATCAGTTCGTAATCTGCTCGATCCTCTTGAAAGCTAACAGTTTATTAGCGGTTGATTTTTTAAATACAAATTGGAGTTTGTGTACTGGAAGAATGGAAGTTGATAGGATCGAAGAGAGCAGCGAGAGATTGCTGGGAAGTAACAGTAGTGGTGGGAGTGGTGGAAATAGGTGGGTCGATGGCAGTGAAGTATACTGGGAATCGCCTCCATGGTCAAACCGTAATGAGGATAGGGGTACAGAGGGATATGGTTCAATCAGAAGGAGGCTTGTGAAGAATCCCAAGAGAGTTGATTCATTCGATGTTGAAGCTATGGAAATTGCTGGTAGTTACAGCCACCGCTCCAAGGTAATTTTTCGATCACGCTATCCTTTCTTCCAAGCTCTGGCTCAGCATTCTGGAGATGCCCACTTATTCTGTATTTGTTTGTTGAGCTCCTTTCTTTGATATTTCACTTGAGAAATAATGAGATGTCCTTAATTCTTTACTCATTCGAATGAAATAGATAATAAGAGAACGAACTTACCTACAAAAGGCGCACTGGGATTTTAGAAGCCACCCGCGTTAATGAGATAAATAGAACGAAAGAGAAAAACCACGCGCCTCAAAGGGGAAAAAGAAAAAAGGAAAGGAATTTAGTGCTAGGACTTGAACCCAAAAACGTCAGGATATGTTAGGGAACACTTAAAAGATGTCACACAGGGTTAAATAATGAATATGCAGCGTATGCATATGAGACTCTTGCGTATTTGTAATTCCTTCAAGCCCATTTCAGTTATGTGTGTGGAATCAGAACATTGAAGATTTGTAAAGTAGCGTAGCTCATACTACAGTGATAAAATAGTCGTTGTTGAATGTTTGATACTGATTTTGCAACTTTTGACTGACAATCAATAATGTCAATTTAAGCATGTTTTATAAAATAGATTACCTATCTCAATTTTTTTAAGCTCTAGTACTTATATGAATCAGGATCTTCCCCCTTGGTCAACTCTTGCAATGGCATTTCAGACTCTTGGTGTGGTATATGGGGACTTGGGAACAAGTCCCCTGTACGTCTTTGCTGATGTCTTCAGCAAGGTTCCAGTTGAGTCAGAGGTTGATGTATTGGGAGCATTGTCTTTAGTTATGTACACAATAGCACTTATTCCACTAGCAAAGTATGTATTTATAGTCCTCAAGGCAAATGATAATGGTGAAGGTAATAGATAAATATTCCTACTATGAATTATTTACTTTGGTTGAGTAATCGTAAATCAGTTTTAATTCATTTGGATTCACCTGTAGGAGGAACATTTGCACTATACTCTCTCATTTGCAGGTATGCAAATGTGAATCTGCTCCCTAATCGTCAGCAAGCTGATGAGCATATTTCTAGTTTTAGGCTCAAACTGCCCACTCCAGCGCTGGAAAGAGCTCTCAACATAAAGGAGACTTTGGAAAGGAGGTCATCTTTGAAAACTCTTTTGTTGCTGTTGGTTCTGCTGGGAACTTCTATGGTTATTGGAGATGGTATCCTAACCCCTGCAATATCAGGTACATAAGCCTACTATTGTTTAGTGAGAAATCCTGTGACAAGTAAAAAGAGGATGAAATTTAAAAAATTAATTGTGACATATTCTGCAGAAGCTGCTGTGTTCAAAGTTAAGTGTGTGGTAAAAAATCATGTCTTTGGCAATGAACATTACTGTATATCTGGAAATTCTAGGTCTATACCATATGAAGTTTGCTGTTTGTCAAGTTAGCCTGCAGGCGGTCTATTTGGTGAGAATACCGTTAACTAATGTATACATTAATTTTCTATGAGTTAATATGCTTATGAAAGCCCCGCTAATATTGGTCAAATGGCTATTTAAAATTGCGTGTGACCCAAGATATTGATATATTAGTTCTTAACATAAGATGATGCGAGGAATGGACAATAACCTGCTGTATTCCCATTGGTCTCCAAATTCATAATAAAACAACTCTTTCACCTATGCAAAGAGAAGTCTATTTGGCATGTGTCTTGCCACCCAATGCCTTCAGTACCCCTGGGGCTCCCCGGGGAGAGTCTTTGGAAAATAGATTTACTGAGGATGTGACGTAATCAATTAATCTCCTCAAAATCTCCTGTGTTATGAGGAGAAAAACTCTGTCAATCAAGTTGCATAAACAAGGAGAAAACATACCTGCATATTTTTAAACTTATGCCATGCAATAAAAAAAGATGAGTAAATTTTTTCCTTGGACCAACATTCCATGATTGGTTCTCTTGAAAAAACTTTTTCCGCATGTAATGTTTCTATTAGAGCACTTGATAGCAAACTTCTTAGAAACTTAAGTTTTCTCCCATAAACAGTTACCACTGCGTGACAAGCATTGCAGTGCCCCCTCAATTGAAACAGGTGCTTTCATTCCACTTGGCATGATCCATTTATTTACTGGTTGAAGTTCAGAGTATTTTAATTTACTAGGGGCAAACCAGGTACATATATATACTTTCCTTTAATGAGCTTGTACTTTGGGTCCCTTGGGGTTTGGGACTAGACTTTGCTGAATTGATTGAATTGGCTATTTGCTTCCACTCCTCCTTATAATCTCTTTAGTGGGATCTTTATTTACTTTTTTCAAAGTTATATTGGAATGTATTTTAGAGAAAACAAGATTGTTTGTGCTGCAACTTAATTATAATCACAATGCTTCTCTGTTGCAGTGATGTCTTCCATAAGTGGACTGCAAGATGAGATAAATGGAATTGGTACAAGTGGGTATAGTTTCCTATTCTCCCCCTTGAATTTACCTTTATTTCTAGCTGAAAAATGATGGAACAGCCCCAAGGTGGTATTATTCAATCGCAAATCTCTCCAGAGTGTGAGTCTAATGGAGGAATACGCTAAACTAAACAGAAGGCAACACAACCCTGTGCTTTTGATAGGCACAGCCTCTCCGAGAGATTATCCAAAATATCCTCCCCTCCCCGAAACAACCACCCATGCAACACACACACAGCCGTCTCTCCTTCTAATTGTCAACTAGAAAATCCCAGAGTACCCCCTCACATGATCTGCACCACTATTCAGATATTGGGCCTCTTCCTGTAATATGTGAATTGGTGCCCATGTTCGACAAAAAACTAGTAAACAAATAATGAGATCAAAGCGAAAACTCATGAAATGGGGAGTGGAGGTGGTTTATGAAAAGATCCCTAGTCACTTTCCCATTGTTAGATTGATAGTACCTGAAAACCTCATTCACATGCATGTTAACTTTAGATGGAAATCCTCGTGGTGTGTTTTTCCTTTTCTGTTTCAGGAAGATATGCCTAAAGTCATTACTTATCTTTGAAGAAATGAATTTGTGACATTTTAGTAGAAGTTACATTCAGAAATTGCAGATATCTCTTCAAAATTTTCTGGACCAAATGTCCATGAGGTAAAAGTCTTTCTAATTAATGAGCGAGGAGTGCTTTGGCCTGAGTAGGTTGGGTAATTTTTCTGCCTTAAAAACAATTTGTGAACATCTCTGTTCATAGTGCTTCAGAAAAAAGTGAGAAATAGATGCTAAATTTTTGTCTCTCTCTCAGTCTGAACTATTAACTGGACCTATTGAGTTTTAGGTTTCTTCAAGAACGCTGCTTTTTATCTCTATTCTAGAACTGTGGGCAATGTGGACAATTGACAGCATTAGCATTGTGGATCGCTTAAATTTTTTGTGTTTCTTGCAGAAGCTGTGGTCATTATCTCAATCGTAGTTCTGCTGGGCTTGTTTAGCATACAAAAGTTTGGTACCAGCAAAGTGGCTTTCCTGTTTTCCCCTGTTATCGCTTTATGGTTCTTCTCTCTGGGTTCTATTGGGATATATAATATATTAACATATGATATTAAGGTCCTGAAAGCATTCAATCCAGCCTATATCTATTATTTCTTCAAGAAGAACACCACTAGGGCGTGGTCTGCTCTTGGTGGTTGTGTTCTGTGTATTACAGGTATGTCTTTTTCTCCATGTTCGAGAATGTCACAAGATTAATAGTTTTATTAGCTTAATTTATACCATTTTGCCATTCAGAAGGCACAGATAATGAAGACTCTGTTGATTTAAGATAAATTACTTGACTTCAAGCTTGCCAATTACTTGGGTTCTAATTAGAGCCATGAAGCTTTCTTATTAAAGTGAGAAATTTGTGAAGCATGAAAACGACCGTTTCAATTGTATGAAAGACAAGGAACCAGGAACTTAGACGACTTGGTTGTATGTTTTCTCTTCAGGTTCAGAGGCAATGTTTGCTGATCTGGGTCATTTTTCTGTACGTGCAATACAGGTTTGTACCTTTTTGTGATCCCATAAGTTTGCCTATGAAGTATCGAATTTTTTAGCTCAAGTGTTCCATGTAATTGATACTACAGATTGCTTTTACTTGCGTGGTATTTCCATGTCTCCTCTTCGCTTATATGGGCCAAGCTGCTTATTTGATGAAGTACCCTAATTGTTATTCAAAAATATTCTACGCTTCTGTTCCAGGTGATTTGTCAATAGATAATTGTTTATGCCTGTAAATAGGATTCATTGTTCTTCAAACTCCTATTTTAGAGATATTTGTTCTGTATTATAATCTCTTTTATACCTTGTATTTTTGTTTCTTCATGCAGAAAGCCTCTTCTGGCCCGTGTTTGTGATAGCCTCTCTTGCTGCTATGATTGCCAGCCAAGCAATGATATCTGCTACGTTCTCATGCGTAAGGCAAGCTATGGCTTTGGGCTGCTTCCCAAGGCTCAAGATAATTCACACCTCAAAAAAGCAAATGGGTCGAGTTTACATCCCTGTAATGAACTATTTTCTTATGACCATGTGCATAGTGGTCATTTCCTTCTTCCAGAGCACTACTGACATAGCAAATGCATATGGTAACAAATCACCATCTCAATTTTCTGAGTATTTCTTCCTATTGTTTCTACTTTCTTTTTGTTTTTTTTTTTTGGGTGATATCCTGTCGTTTCTACTTTGGTTCAAGGATGATGGTTCCTGCTTGGTGGTTATTTCGGCATTCTAGTTTTCACACCGGCATTTTAACCAGTTCAAAATTACAATTTGGCAACGCGTCAAAAATCGTGTAATGGAATTACTTGAACCAGAATGCCTCTTATATTGATTAATTTGCAATTATCGATTACTTCTCTCGTATTCAGATGAACTTTTATCTTCTATTTCTGCACCCACGTGCAAGTTTGTATTGGCATAACTCTAGATGTCTTTAGGGACTTTGACAATGGTAATTATAACACCAACCACTGGCTCTCATGAATCCGGAGGTTTTGAATTTTTATTTACAACTTGAATGGACCAAATCATGCTAAAAGCATACGGCACGCATACCTAATACTTGGTCCCATACTCCCATTTGTGGCATGTCTACTTACGCTTTTTATATTGCTCTTTTTAGGCATTGCTGAAGTAGGTGTTATGATGGTTAGCACCACCTTAGTGACACTTGTAATGCTTCTAATCTGGAAGACCAACTTGTTCTTGGCGTGTTGTTTCCCGCTGGTATTTGGATCAGTGGAGCTCATTTACATGTCTTCTGTCCTATCGAAAATAGTTGAAGGTGGCTGGCTTCCCCTCGTCTTTTCTACTTTCCTCCTCTCTGTGATGTACATCTGGAACTATGGGAGTGTGTTGAAGTACCAGAGTGAAGTCAGGCAGAAGATCTCACTGGATCTGATGCGTGACCTTGGCTCCAATCTTGGAACTGTCAGACTGCCGGGAATAGGGCTGCTATATAATGAACTCGTACAAGGCATTCCTTCCATTTTTGCACAGTTCCTTTTGAGCCTCCCAGCTATCCACTCTACTATAGTCTTTGTTTGCATCAAATATGTTCCAATTCCCGTGGTTCCTCAAGAAGAAAGATTCCTATTTCGAAGAATTTGTCCCAAGGATTACCATATGTTCCAGTGTGTTGCCCGGTACGGCTACAAAGATGTGAGAAAGGAAGATCACCATGCGTTTGAGCAACTTCTTATCGAAAGCCTTGAGAAATTCTTGAGAAGGGAGGCTCATGAAACTGCCTTAGAGATGCAGGGCAACTTAACTGAGGATGGAGATAATGTTTCAGAGAGATCATGGGATTCTGATCCTCCTTCTAGCGATGGGTGTGAGGATGAACTTAGGATTCCTCTTATGCATGGTCGAGATTCCCAAGAAACAAGAACTCCTACTGCACCAGGGGCTGCATCATCTGTAATAACATCTAGTTATATGCCATCTGAGGAAGATGCTAGCCCTGAGGAAGACCCTAGTCTTGAATATGAGCTTTCAGTCCTTAGAGAAGCGATGGAATCTGGATGCACCTATTTGCTTGGACATGGGAATGTGAGGGCAAGGAAGGACTCTTTTTTCCTCAAGAAATTGTTGATAAATTATTTCTATGCATTTTTGAGAAAGAATTGCAGACAAGGTACCGCAAGCATGAGAGTACCTCACACCAATATAATTCAAGTAGGGATGACATATATGGTCTGATTCATCCATGTAATTCTTTCTGATCTCTGAAGCATGAAAAATTCCTAGGTAGCTTGGGTATATAGAAAATTTGTGACATAACCAATTGTAGATGGACAAGTGTATCAAAACTCAAAAGAGAACTCCAGTGAAAAATATTGTAAAGTGCTTACAGGTCCGTTGATGATTAGCCTGGTTAATTTTTTTTTCCTTTTTTGTTTCTTTTTCTCCACTGGGAATCCAAGAAATTCTCTTAGTACTTTGACTTGGTCATTGGCTGCGTTGAGCCAGTTCATTTCATGTATAATTTTCTGAGATGCTTTTGCGATTATTTGTCTGTCTATGCGCCCCCCTTATAATTCCCTACAAAAGTTATTCTTAAAATTCTGCTACCACATCAATTTTCAGCTTTGGGCTTTTTTTTTTTTTGGGTTATACTCTTCTAATGTTTTATTTAACTAATTTGATTAGATTAAAAAAAAATTAGGTAAGTTAGTTAATTATAAGAAATATGACATGTTTTACTTAAAATATTATAATCACCTTCCTTAATATCGTTTTTTTTTTTTACTTGATTACGGTGGAGGGAATATTTATAAGGATAATTTAGAAAAAAAAACTAATAAATATGAAAAATAGGTCTTATATTTAGAATTAAAATTAATTCTATAATTAGGTTTTATATTAAAGATTGGAAGAGTAACATCTTTAGACGTGTTAAATTTAGGGTTCTCTTACATTTCATGTTCATGGGCTAAGAAGCCACTGAACTCTCTATTGGCCCTCTTTTCCAGGTCCATGTGCATTGGGCTTTACAGTTTTGTAAACATTTTTGCATTAATTTTATATTTACATTAATTATTATTGTTGTTGTGTAATTTTAACTATCATCTCGCCGATGTATTTAACTTTATTCCTATTTTTGTTGAAATTCAATATTCTTGATTCTCAATTATAAAGAGGTAACTTCAAATTTTCACCTTTGCTTCTTCTTTTTTTTTTTGGCTTCCTTTTTATCTTTTTTGGGACCTTGCTTGTTTATTCTATCGAAATTCTTCATGTTTATCCAGGAGGGTGCCTTTTGCTTTCGGACATCCTTAATCCTTATATAGCTGAAACCATTTATAAAGTCCCTGTCACGTGCGCTGGCCTTCAACAAAATCTGCATCACTATCACAAAATGTCCAGATCAGTTTCCCACCGAGAAGGGAGGGTTCCTTTTGGAAAACATAAAATAAAATAATAATAAATTTGATTTATGATTTATCTAAATTAAGCATTCAAATCCACAATGAACGAGTCATCATCATGTAAAGAGTGCATTTTGATCGGAAAATATCTCCAACGTCTAAATACAAAGAACTTACCTTGATGTAAACACAGTGCAATGTATTTATCTTAACTTTAACCCTTTGGTTGGAAAAGGGGGAGAGTGATTAATGAGTTCAATTCTTTCCCCCCCAAAAAAAAAGGATAAGTGTAGTTATAAAGTTTTGATAAAAATAACTTTTTCTTTCGGACAAATAACTTTAACCCTTTGTTTCTGTTTTAAGAAATGAATGACATTATTAGTGTTTTATTGATAGATTGATGTGTCTTCATACAGTGAGCATTAAATTATTTATTTTTTAACTTATTTTTATCAAAATTATTCAAAAATTGTTTAGATTGCGTAATTCATTTATCTCAGTTTCAAAAGTTGATCATAAACACTAAGGTTTTTTTTCCCTTTTTTGGTAGCATATTATTTTAATCCAATATCTAAATCTTGTTTGTGAAAGTAAGAGATATTTTTATTTTGAATGATGAATACTATAAAATAAAACCCTATTTAAATTTTAGCAAGTAATAATTAAAATTTATAAATATTACTAAAAGGGAGGGGAAAAAGAAGTTTATGATCTTTTGGTTTTGTTTGGTTATGGGAGAAAAAGAAGGGGGGTGGTGGGGGGGTTTTGAACTGCCAATGGGAAAGACTGTGGGTTCAGTTGTGAAACAAAATGGGTAGTTAGACGAATTATCATTTATCACTGTTAGAATTGAATTAAATGAAAGCTTATCAAAAGACACTTTTGGGGCAGTTGTGCATTTGCGTCCCATTCATGTAGTCATCATTTTAACTGTCCTCTACCTCGCTTCCATTTCATTCACTTTGTTTTTCCCACCTCTTAAATACTACTGCTTCTTATTTTCAATATAAAAATTAGTTTAACTTTTAATTCAGTAATTAGATTTTAATTCAATTTGTATCTTATATTTATCTATTTTTTTAAAATAATTCTCATAGTAATTGTGTATGTTAAAGATTCCATCAAATGACAATTCTATTTAGTACACATTACTAATAAGAGTATTCTAAGAAAGATAACACGTATTAATGATAAATAAGTAACTTAATAAACTTTTTTAATTTACTCAAATTAGTCAACTAGCTCTTATATTAAGGACCGGAAGTAGTACCTTCGATTCTGAATATAAAAGTTAATGAAAGATTTAATTTTTCCTTAAATATAAAATTTTCAACTCACTTTGTCTTCCATAAGTATTCATTTTTTAAAAATAATTCTTATGACAATTGCTCACGTTAAAGGATTTTTATTCTAATCCATATCATCATTAAGGATATTTAAAAAAATAACATTTAATTATTACAAATAACTAATTTAAACAATTTTTTAGTATTTTTAATTAGTTATTTTACTTTTATACTACTTCCGATCCTAATTATAAGTTCCGGGAGGTAGTATTAAAGACAGAAAGTGATAACTTGAATAACCAAAAGACCAAAAGATGGACTAATCATGGCAGTTGAGACCTAAAGACAGCTTGTTACGCTCAATATTTGTTAGAAACACATTTACAAGTGAATAATTCAATGCAATATTTTTCAAAGAAAGTCCATGGAATTACTGTATATACAAAGGAAGGATCCAAGAAGGGGGACTGTGAATAGTCATAAAGTCAATGTTCATGCAGTGAGTCTAACAAGTAGTCCTTTTTTGGCCTGCAAGTCTAACAACTAATCTAGTTGACACAATTACTGGCTTTCCCTGAAAATGTGTACAAAACAAATAAATCGGTTTCACATGATCGATAAGATCTATGATCTCCTTCACAATATTGGGTATCAGGTGATCCATCCAATTGAAGTTGTTTAGGAGTGTTTGGATAGAAACCAAACCATGGTTTCAAAAATATTTTTACAGTTTATGAAATAAATATGTAGAGGAATTTGTCTCGTTTTGAGAAAAAGTACTTCTGAAACTATGGTTTGGAGGTTGCCAAACACCCATAAGCCTTTCAATTCTCATGAGGCTTCTGGATCCAATGGAGCTTTAAACCCTCCAAAATTCCCTCTCTCTGTTTTTTTTTTCAAAAAATCTCTTAATTCTATATATTAAAAAAAAAAGAATCTAATTAAATTTGACTAACATGTGACTTGCCTACATGAATCTAATATTGTCATCCTAGTTTGATAAGTGGATTAATTCCTCTTCCCCCGTCACTACACTAATAATAAATAATATTTTCATTTAACGAGCACAAGAAATATTTTTTTTTAAAAAAGGAAGTTATATTTTTTGTAATATCCTTACACATATTTTTGTAATATTTGGGGTAACTTATCTGTTAGTCATATTCTAACTTCAATTTGATTTCTACAACGGAAAACTTAGTAATTGCATCATCATGATCTCATTGGTTTTTTTTTTTAAAAAAATGAATTTGGCATCACTTTCGTTAAACTTCCAATTATATAAAGTTGTTGGCCAAGAACCAAATTCCATCACGCTGCATGTCACCTATGAAATATGATAATTTTATTTAATTATTTACTTCTTATTTTTGTCTATACTCATTACACATATCTTGAGTGTCAACTTCACATGTGGCTTACTAGTACATAAACTTTGATTAAAGATTATTAATACGCTACAGGTTTCAGAATTTTATAAATCAAATAGAATCATACGAATCAACAATTAATAATCCAAGAGGAAAATTAAAGCATGGTCAACTGAATAACAAAAACAAATGGGACAAGAAAAGAAGTCATACAAGTAAGCGAATATGGTAAATATTTAATTGATGATATATTTGCGTGTATAAACAGGATAACTGATACTTACAGATAGGATACCATTGCCTCATATAATTCCAAAATGAAATAAATTAAAGTCTAAATTTGGTTCTAATTAAACTAAACTATTAAAGAAAGGCAAACAGATCATTAATTCTTCCTCTAAGAATATTAATAATTTTACTTGTAAAAAAATTGCTAATAAAATAGATTTCAGACACACTAATTCAAATGTAAATTTCATTCAACCCCACACTCACTGAAAATATGTGTATTATTATTATTATCCTCTTTCTTGAAACCTTGAAAACTCGAAATTATTGAGTGAAACTATTTTATTAACAGAATTATCCAATAGTTCTCACAAAAAAATCAATAATTTAATTACTGGTAGAATATAATGACGTGACACAATTGTCTAATAAGACGACGCTTATTAGTTATTATAATAACTACTCCTTTGGTCTTATTCAAGCCTGTGGAAAAATACTTAAATTAAATTTTTGTCATTTTTAAGTAAAATTAACATTGTTATATAAATATATCTCAAGGTTCCATCCGCATTTACAGTTAAGTTATATAAATCAAACTTATAAATGTTGCAACCACTTTTATTATTTTCATTTTATAAGTCGAATCTAATTGATTTATATGGACAAAAATTATTTAAAATTTGTTTATATTCTTAAAATTACATCATCTTTTTTTAAATGTTCTTAATTAAATACAAAAAAATCTTAACTATATCTTATTCATGTTTTTCATCAATCAATTTATCCATCATAAGTACTCAGAAATATCTGTATTAAGCATACTATTAAAAAAAATTAACTGCTTTAATAAAATGACTGATAAATGTGAAAATGAATTGCTTATAATAAGTGATTGATGAATAAAAACATAGAGGATATCAGTCTAAATATGCATGCGTATCTTTATAGAAGTTTTTAGAACTGCAACGGAATATCCTGTGAATGATTCTTTTTTTTTCAATCGTCTGTTGTTATCAATGAGTGTGACATGTTTTGGAAGGACAATTTTTTGCTTACATCGGATAGAAAATAGGATAATGATTTTTATGTCCTTCCCATAATATTTTGTCGCCCTTCAAATTTGACTGAGCAAATACAACAATAGTTTTTTGTCATTAAATGAGCTAACTAGACGACAAACAGATATAGATATGTGAAGCAAATATACATACTACTACATAAGCTACTTTGTCTCTTAATATAAGATTTAATTTAATT